GCTTCTAAGGAACATCTGGTTGTATTTCTTTTAAGACTGATTTGTTCATTCTTTTGGGGGTCCACAGTATATTCAGTATTCTTCACCAACACCACAGTTTGAATGCATTAACTCTTCTGTCTTCCTTTTTCATTATCCAACTTTCATGTGCGAATGAGGCAATTCAAAATGTCATGGTTTGGGTCAGATGTACCTAGTCATCCAAGTGGCATCTTTGATTTTTAAAACCTTAAAGAAGTATTTGGCAACAGATTTGCTCAATGCAGTATGTCGTTTGATTTCTTGACTGCTGCTTCCATGGATATTGATTGTTGATCCAAATGATAGTCCCTTGAAATTTTATTTATCCTACTCAGTTGGTTAGTATTAGGAAATTGAGTCATGTTCACAAAAAAAGACAAGATATCACATAATTCAAAGCAGAGGCGCTGCAAATAATGGTCATATTTTCCCTCCAGATAAAAAAAATCAATCTATCTTCCTGGAACGTTTCCCAGATTGCATTTCTTTCACAAAGCCTTTTAACCCTAAACGAGATACCAAAAAACCCAAACCCAATGCCATCAAGTCAATTCCGACTCATAGCAACTCTACAGGACAGAGTAGAACTGCCCATAGGGTTTCCAAGGAGCAGCTGGTGGATTCGAACTGCTGACCTTTTGGTTAGCAGCTGAGCTCTTCACCACTGTGCCTCCAGGGCTCCAAATGAGATGCAGTTATCTATAAAACTTAAGTAGAATCAGATTTATTTATTCCTTTATTTACTCATTCCTTATTTCATGCTTTGTTACCTAGTGCTGGGAAATACAAAGATGAAAAGGACACACTTTCAATGTTCGTAATTGTTTAGTTCCATGAATATCTGTAGGTGTCAATTTGCCCCTAGTATCTAGTGTTTATTTGCAATTTATTTATTTTTTTCACTAAGCCAGCATTTCAACAAACATTTACTTAGTACTCCCTACATGTTTGGTGAAGACAATTCAGAGATGAATAAGACATTTT